ATAGTATTTCTCCTGCCAGCTCTGAAGAAGACCAGAAATTTTATGTCTGCACAGTCAAGGATGAGGTGAACTTGGACACAGTGCTTCTCCCACCATTGTTAAAAGGCATGTTCCTCGAAGAACTCAAGTGAACCAATAACAGATGTCATTGCAATTAGTAATTTTGTAGATGACTGAGTATAGGTCTCTTATTATCATGCTAGTTTCATTTTAAAAAAATATATATATTTTTATTGATTTCATAAAGGAAGGGAGAGGGAGAGATAAAAACATCAGTGATGAGAGAGAATCATTGATTGGCTGCCTCCTGCATGCCCTGCACTGGGGATCGAGCCCATGACCTCCTGGTTCGTAGGTTGAAGCTCAACCACTGAGCCATGACAGCCAGGCACTAGTTGTATTTTCTTCTAAAAAAAAAAAAAAAAGAAAAGAAAAGAAAGAAAACTGCCTTCCAGAAAGAAGTTCTGACATTACTCCCCAAAGAACCCCTTAAATAATTGTAATGCTACTTGAGTAATGGTTTACTTAAGTGAGCCCATTGTTTTCTTTGGGACTGACTGATGACAGAAACGTTTTTTTAGTGGTTTAATAAAAGCATGTCTTGAGTTTCTCTTTGTGCATATTCCTGTGCTGGAGGAAACAATAAGCAAGGGAGAAAATGTTGCTGAAACTTAAGAAACTCTGGTGCTAGTGAAGAGACAGTGTTACGCACATAGCAGGAGTTTAATAAAAAGAGTGCCAAGTAAGTTTATAATGACTTACAAGATAAAGAATTAGGTAGGCATGATTAGACAGGGATGTTTTTCTTTTTAGAGATGAGTTTTTCTTTTAATATTCAAGCGTTTGATGGGCATTGTACTATAAGAAGCCCTCTGGAGGGATATCATAATGAATAAACATACTTTCTAGTCAAGGATGGTCTTGCTGAGAATATGAGACATACATATGAAATAGCATGGTAGTTAAGAGCCAGGACTCTAGAGTCAAAAAAATCTGGGTACTGTTGGCTCCTCCACTGACTGGCTGTGGAACCTTAGATAAATTAATTGACTTATATAAGTCTTAATCTTCTCATCACTCAAATGAGGGTAATGATAGCTCCTATCTACCTCATGGGGTTAGTTAAGGATCAAATGAAATAAATCATGGTACATTGTAAATATTCATTGTATGTCCACTTTTATAAGCTATTCTGGAGGTTTTAGGTCCATGTAGACAGTTCATACTCCTATAGCCATGATAGGCCACACTTGGCAATGGCTTCACTAACATAGAAGGACCAGGTCAGGAAGTACAGCATGCTAGCAGAACAGCAGCGAGTGGTTTTCTTCAGAGGGAGTCCTCACAGCAGTTTCCACCGCTACTCTCCAGAGCCCCAAGGAATAGCTTAGGTGTGATGGAATGAGATCATGATGGATGGGCGCATGTAAGCCCCATGCCCCAGCTAAAAACTGGTATCTCTTGTAACAGCCCCGTATGCATAACTTCCAGGCCCTGCAAGGGACATAACCTATTAAATGATTTACTACCACCACCACCACCACCACCCCCCCCCAGGAAGCCCAAAGCTGTGGTTTACCCCTGCTGTTTATAGCTTCTTCAGTTTTCTTAATCCATATTCAGCTTCCAATCTGGGGTCATTTTTAGTGTAAGCAATGTTACCTGGTAATTCAGGTGCCATTTGTCAGGATCCTGGGAAAGTGCTAGGAAGTGCATCCAAGGTCAGCACTGTCCACAGAGAAGAAAAAAGGATTTGTTAGCTCATAAGCTAAAATTAATAGCTCAGTCTGCAAAGCCTTGTTCTAAATCAGGAGTAGGGAACCTTTTTTCTGCCGTGGGCCATTTGTATATTGATAACATCATTTGTAGGTCATACAAAATTTCCAACTTAAAAACTAGCCTGCTATATTTGGTCAAACATTTAATCAACTCACCCCTAATGCAGGGCCAGACCAAATGATTTTGCAGGCCTTATACAGCCTTCGGCCAGACATTTCCCTGATCTAAATGAAAGGCTAAAGCTATATTGTGAAAGGCCACATAAATTATAAAAGTATTTAAAAAGAAGCCCTAGCCAGTTTGGTTCAGTGGATAGAGTAGGCCTGCAGATTGAAGGGTCCCAGGTTCGATTCCGGTCAAGGGCACATACCTGGGTTGCAGGTTCGATCCCCAATAGGGGCTGTGCAGGAGGCAGCTGATCAATGATTCTCTTGTCATCGATATTTCTATCTCTCTCTCCCTCTCCCTTTCTCTCTGAAATCAATAAAAAATATATTTTTTAAAAAAGTATTTAAAAAGGAGATTGACATGATTATATTTGTACTTTATAACTCTGCCAATAGCTAATATGTTATTGGGATAAGAATGAAGAGAAGTTGGAAATGTTCAAAACAGGGTAATATAGTGGTCCAGGTGAAAATGACTTTTTATACTAAAATTGTTTAGGAGGAAACATGCAAAAACATTTAGAAGAAGGGTAAGTGGGTGACCAGTTGGTTGTGAAGGAAAGAAAAAGGTTTAGAATTATTCCAAGATTTTTGGCTTGGTGACTTATTGGTTCAATACAACTGCTTTAATATATGGGTCATAACATGGAGAGATTTACTCTAATGCTTAGAGTTAATTAGCATCTTTATAATTATTGGAGTTCTGGGACCAGGAAACCTGGCCTCCATGTTTAGTTCCAAAGTAAGAAGAAAAAGTCTAAGTACTTATTAAACATGAAAATGGGAAGAATTGTTAGTTTAGCTGACTGATTCAGGGCATATCTTCGGGTTTACCAACAAAGGGTTTTGGTGACCATGGTTGAAGAGTTTAAGTGATGTGGTGAAAATCTGATTATAGTTGGTTGAACAATGAATGAAGCCTGAGAATGAATGAGGACATGGAAATAAGGTTCTCTGAAGAGGTTTGGCTGAGGAAGAAGGGGTAGACAAAAAGTGAGCCTTTATATTTTGTTAAATGAACAGATTATCAACAAAATGCATTATATGTTGTAGAAAGCTTGTTCGTTGCTGATTTTTTTCCTCTAGAAATAGCTGTAAACCAACTGGATCAACTGAGCCCAGAAGAACAGTTGCTGGTTAAGTGTGCTGCAATCATTGGTCACTCCTTCCACATAGATCTGCTGCAGCACCTGCTGCCTGGCTGGGGTAAACAGAAGCTACAGCAGGTGCTGAGGGCTCTTGTGGATATGCACGTGCTCCGCTGGTGCAGCCAGAGCCAGGAGCTTCCTGCATGAAAAAAACAAAGAGGAAAAGAAAAATTCAGGTGAGGAAAAGCTGGTCCCTTGTTCTCAAGCCTGAACAGAGAGCCTTGGTGGGAATTGGGAGGGGGTGGTTGGGGTGGGGATGGAATCTGTGTTGAGAAAGAGCATCAATATCATATATCAAGTGCCTTAGTCTCTTAAAGCTTATAACTAAGACATGGGGAAAATAATTATTTTAATCATGAAGGAACCATGGTTATAGTGAACGAATAGCTTGTATTTTTTCAAAATTGCCTTAATTTCAAGAATTCTAACTTCTTGTTAGCACCATATGTCAAGTATTTGTGTTTTAATTTTTGGTTCAGAAAATATTGCCATTATCCTTTATTGGCTTCTAGGTCGAAATAATAAGAAAAAAGGATAAACTATTTCTAATTTTAGAAATTCACAAAGATATGTAGTACTGAAACAGGTATTCTCAAATTCTCCACATGAAAGAATAAAATTGTGACATAGAAGACCCAAATTACATATAATCCAAAAATAATTTTCTTTTGACTTTGAAATATGTTTGGGCCTTGAATTTGAACAGAGAATTTCAGATAATTTGATGTTTATAATAATTTGTAATACAAAAGCTCATTTTAGGAGGAACAACTAAGAAATCTATCCAAGTGTACTTCAGTACCCCTGATTATTTCTTTGCCATGGTACTTTGTACTAGATATGGTCACTATCACTCTCAGATTGGTGTAAAACCCTTTATACAAAGCAGGCGAATGGGAATTGTAAATGAAATTTCTTTAAAACTAGCAGCATGTGCTTAGGAGTTTGCTACGTGGTAGCATGCAAGGACTTTAAGGGAGGCTCTCACTTAGATTTTTCTGTATTTCAGATGCTGGCTCTCCTCTCAGGCAAAAAGAGAAACTATTCCTACCACCTCCGGAGGTGCTAGAATTTGATGTGCCTCTATTACGGGAAGCTGCTTGGGAGCTGTGGCCCAAGGCACAACAGAGAGCCCTGCATCTTGAATGTGCCTGCTTTCTCCGACACTTGGCCTGCCGCTGTGGCAGTTGCAGGGGCGGGGACTTTGTCCCCTTCCACCGTTTTGCCATCTGTTCCATCAAGAGCTCCAGAGGGTCATCCCGATTCTGCAGTTACAGGGATACTGGCTCGGTGTTAACACACATGATCACAGACAGATTACAGCTGCCTTCTCCCCAAGGTAAACCCAGGGGGGCAGAAAGAGGATATATGGACAGCACCTCTCTTTACTCATAAGCTCAGATCTCTTCATCCAAAAGGTAAAATCACATTAAGGTAGAAAAATAGGTAGAAACAGCCATTTATCCCTGAAGTACCAGAGATAAGAAAAGTGTAATCTCTGAGTTAAAAGGAACTTTAGAGGTCATACTTGTTTGGGTTGGCAATCTGGGGTAATCTTTGGTAAGTTCCTTAACCTCAGTTAATTGAGAAAAATAGCAATATTATTTTATAGGGTTGTTGTGCCAGGCACATGGTTAGTACGCATACATCTTAATTATTGTTTTTTATTGTTATAATTATTCCACTCAGCACACATATATGGAGTCAGTGTGTATCAGATGCAGTTAAGAATACAAAATGAGTGAGTCTTGGTCCCTAAAATGATCAGTTTTGGGGGTGATACAGACATATAGAGAATTCCAACATGGAAAAGGAGATGAAAATGGCATGCATAGGGGCTGGGTACCTAGAGAAGGGGCTGTTAGCTGGCCCAAGGAATGAGTAGAAGACTCTTTCCTCAAGGAGATACTGCCAGAAGTTAGACTTGGAGCATAAGTAGGAGTTAGCTACTTCAGGAAGGTTGGATTAGTGGACAGATGTTCCCCAAAGCCTATAACCCTTCTACCACATCTCAGATAAGAGTTCATGCTCTTTGTTTTAACATTTTCAGTTCGTTTACCTTACAGGACATCCTGTTTCATTGCCAGCAGCTATTAGAACATCTCTTCTTTCATCAGGGTGAAATCTACCTTCTTGCAACTTCACCCATTTGTCAGAGCTGTGTCTTCTTCTATAGTTGAAGACAGCTATCAAGATCCAACCATTCTTCTCTTTTTCTACTTTGATAGAAGAAAAGTTGGTATTGGTGTTGGCAGGGGAGAGGGATATGAAAGAGATGGTGACGTATTGGAGGTAAAGGACTAAAATGAAGGATTTGATCTATGATCCTAATACCTCTTCTAGCTGTAACATCTGGTGACTCTGTGAAGGTAGACCAGTAACTTGGAGAAATTGGTCATTGACTGATGAACTCTATGAGCATTTGTACTTTTGCACTTTCTGAGGGGAAGAGGACAGGAACAGTGAGTGTCCTAGTCCGCTATTGTGATGAGATTATGCTATCATTCACATTTCCTGTGTGGCCTTTGTTTTGAAGAGGTCAGTGTCAGCTTTAGATTAGACAGCCTGATCAATCTATATGAGAATGGCTCCAGACCTTCCCAGCACAGCCGAACCCAGAAGAGGCCTCTGTGCATGGCCATACAGCACAGGTTCTGCACAGATCGAGAGGGTGCTGCTCACACAGGCTGTGAGGTGAAGGCTCCCTGGGAATTGTGTATTGCAATAGTGCTGCCAAACTCCAGTTTCTTAGTTACCTTATCCTTACCTGACATTATTTGACATCAGAGAGCTGGTACTTTTACTTAACACAAGTCCTCTTTACAGCAGTTCTCTTAGACTCCCTTTTCAATCCCACCACTCATGCTTCTGAGTCCTAACCCTAATATGTAACACTAGAGTCCCGGTGCATGAATTTGTGCACCAGTAGGGTCCCTCAGGTTGGCCTGCGGGATCAGGCCAAAACCAGCTCTCCAACATCCCCCAAGGGGTGCTGGATTATGAGAGGGTGCAGGCCAGTCTGAGGGACCCCACTGGTGCATGATCAGAGCCAGGGAGGGAAGCAGAAGGTTGGCCAGCCAGGGAGGGATCACAGGAGGGCTCCAGGGTGTGTCCAGCCTGTCTTACTCAGTCCCGATTGTCCGGTCCCCAGCAGCAAGCTAACCTACTGGTTGGAGTGTCTACCCACTGGTGGTCAATTCACATCATAGTGAGCGGTTGAGCAGCCTTAGCATATCATTAGCATATTATGTTTTGATTGGTTGAACGGCTGACTGGTTGACCAGACACTTAGCATATTAGGCTTTTATTATATAGGATGTCAACATCATTACCAGTGTATTTCCAGTCTTTGTTTTTTATCTTGGAGAAGGCAGCTGTAGAGGAAGAGTCAAATCTGGAGGATAAAGGCTGTTGAACACCAACTAAGTAAAGTTGAAAACTTCTACTGACCACTGAGACTGTAGTGGACTGTGGCATCATGTGTTCTCATGATTTTAGGTCTTAGGTTTTGTGGTTCACTCTTCTGTGTCCATAAACCCAATCACGACATTTTCAGGGATTCCTACTATTAGAAGTAGCCATCAAACCAAGTGGATACATTATATATTTCTTTATTAACCGATTGTGAGTACCTCCTGGGATATAAGAACTGGCTTGGAAAGTTTGACAACTAAAGGAGTTACTATTTGAATGACAAATCATTGCTTTTAAGGAATTTGCAATTTATTATCCCAATTTTGTGTGCAGGTAAATATTAAACCTAAACTTATTATCATAATGGGGAGGGCGTGGAAATTATGTCGTGAACTAAGCTGCAGAGGAAAGATAGAAATTTAAAATGTCCTCAGTTAATTCAAACATAGGTACTAAAGATAATCATCTTTTTCTCCCTATAGATAGTTTTCAGTTCCAGACAGAACTGTCCAGAAGTCGGGAGGCCTTCACAAGTGCACCCTGCAGGTAGATGGAGATGCTGAGAATGGGCTAGAAGGGCAGAAAGTGAGACACAGCTGACCACTAAACTGGGCTCACCTCACCTGCAGACCAGGAAGGCATCTGACACCCAAAATCTCTAGTCAAGTTAATAGAGATTTCAAAATGCAATTTTTGATTCTTTGTAGAGAAATTATTTCTTAGTGGTTAAGAAAAACTTCCAATAGCTCTCAAATGCATTGTACACAGAGCAGGGGTTTTTATGTTCAGCTATAAATTTGCCTTCTCAATTATTTTTGACCCCAGCTGATATTAAAATGAACTTACACTTCCCAACCATGTACCTCTGGTTTTCAAATGCCTGTCCCACTGATGTTAAATGTCCCTACCTTGAGTTCACCAGCCACGCTGTAGTCTTCTCTCTCTTATCCAACTTGATATTCTACTTTTCAAACATAAATCTATCCATATTTGACATGAATCACCTCCACACACACCTATGTGTCTGGCTCACACAATTCTCCTTTTTTAAAATACTAAGTGGCCTCCATCTCCTTCCACTTATCAGAATGTTCACCAGCCTTCAAAGCCCTCCTCAGTACCTACTTTTTTCGATCATTCCGTCTCAGAAAGACCTGATCTCTTTTGAACTCATGGTACCTGTGGAGAGTGCACTGGACTAGTAGTCAGAGAGGTGAGCTACTAGGAGTTTTGAGGCCCTATATAAATCACTTAAGCTCTCTCAATCTCAGTCTCTTCATCTGCAAAACGGTAGTAACTTTTGCCTGCTGGAATGACAGGGTTATTGCAGGATAAGATGGTGGTGGCATATAAGATAATGTTCAAATGTACTGTGACAAAGTTCAAATACACTAAGAGATAAATGTATTATTACTTACTGCTTTGTATCACTTTGGTGATTTTATTTAACACACTGTTAGTTTACTCTTCAGGTGTGGTCATTTCTCCATTTAGTTTGTAAGTTATTAGATTGACTTTAGGTTTTTAAAAAATCTGTAATAGGACTTTGCCGTTATAGATTAGGCCTCTGACTTTTAAGAGTGATGGAAGGCAAGGATAGACATAGAATTAATGAGTTCTAAAGGAAAGCGTCCTGGGAAAATGGCTTGGAGACCCGGTAATGCCTGACAAAGGTGGCTGCACCTGGCCACTCTCATTTCTTTGTCTTCTCTACACAAAGGTCAGAGGAAGAGTTCCTGGATCGAGTGAGCAGGAAGCTGGCTCAGGCCAGCCCCGAAAATGACCTGCTGACCACGAAGCCCTGTCGCTGTGAGGAAATCCTGAAGTTAGTGCTCTCGCCCCTCATCCAGCACTGCCTGGTCATCGGAGAAAACACCTGTGCGTTTTATTACCTGCTGGAGGCTGCCTCCGCCTCCTTGGACCTGTCAGATAACTACATGGTGAGCAAGCTCTGCTCTCTGAGATGAGCCCTTTTACTTGGGGATTTGATTGGGTTTCTTAACTATCAAGTGACCTGGAGAGAGGGTGGGAGCGAGAAAAGACCTGGAAAGGGTTTAGGAGAAAACATGAGTGGGAATGTGGGAATGAGAGAACACCAAGCTGTTGGCCCTGCCCCTCCCCGGCCATGTGCAGTCCAGCTCCCCATTTCTAACTCGAAATCCAACCTGATTGGCATGCATATCTTGACCCTCATCATATCCTTACTCCAGTCTTCACCTCTAGCATCATCTGAATCCTAATCCAGTTCCTCCATCCCTTGTCTGGTTTGAAGGCCTTCTTTTATTTGAGGAAGGCAAGCAGTCTTCGGGGCCAGCCCTCTGCATTCTCATTTTTGAAAAGGCACAAGGTGAAGATCTGTCAGTTTGAGGAGGCCACTTTCTGCCGTCTTCGGTCAGAGGTGAGAGTGGAGGTGACCTTGAAGTTTGGGTTATTTCTCCTTGACGGTTACCCTATTATTTCTTTTAAAATCCCTTTGATTTTTTTGGGTGTGTGTTTGTGTATGTGCAGTTATAAATGTGATAATATGATAAAAGGTGCACAGATTCAAAACATGAAAATATATAATAAGTAAAAAGTGAAACAACCTTCATAATCCTATGCCATCCCCAGCATAGTTAATCATCTGGCTATATGCACAGTCATATCGTTATTATTTTGTTATTTTAAAAATAGAATCATATTCCTCGTTATCTTCTGTAGCTGACTTTTATTCTTAATAGTGAAGATTGAACATATCTGTGTATTGGTGTACATCAATCACAGTTGTAGCTGCCAAGTATTTCACTGTATGCATATATCAAAGTTTACTTATCCATTCCATTCTTCAGGTGCACTATGGTGAATATTCTTGGAAATAGCTCTTTCTCCTTTTGTGAGAATGTTTCTGTAAAAGAAATTTCCAGAGGTGGAAATAGTAAGGCAAAAGATATGATTTTACATTTAGTAAATATATTGCCAAATTGTTCACCAAAAATATAGCAATTAGAGTTTTTTACACTTCTTTACAGCCTTACCAACATCAGATACTATTAGTCTTTTAAAAACTTGCTAATACATAAATGAAAGTTATCTTAACTATGCAATATGGTACATTATTTTTACATGTTTATTAGTCATTGATTTTTCTGTGAATTGCCTAGTAATGGGGTGTAATGTACAGTGTGATGATTATAGTTAATAAAACTGTGATGTATAATTGAAAGTTGCTAAGAAAGTAGATCTCAAAAGTTCTCATCACAAGAAAAAGAAGATTTTTAACTATGTGTGGTGATGGACATTAACTTATTGTGGCAATTATTTTGTAATATATACATATGATGAATCATGTACAACTGAAACTAATACAATGTTATATGTTGATTAGATCTCAAAAAGAAAAAATCACATTGCCCACATTAATATACTTAATAAAGCTAGAAGAAAAAACCCATATAGTTGAAAATCTCCCCAACCCTGTCACTTAGCCACTGTGTCCCTTCCCCAGTGTCCCTCCCCCAGTGTTATGTATCTTTATATGTGAGGTGATATTTCAGGTGCTTTCCGCAGCATCTGAATCCTTGCCCAAATGACAATCCCACCTCAGTCTAGCAGCATCACCTTCTAAACCAGAACCTTCCTCTACTGCTCACTGACAATGTGTGGGGTACTTTCTCCTTAACCCTATTTTCTCTTTTATTTGCTCATGACCCTACTAGTGGTTGATAGAGTAGCCAGGCTCTGCTCCAACTCAATGCACTCACTCTAGCACCTCATTAGCCCTAAGTGCACATCCCAAAATAGAAGAGCCAGTGTGTTATATCAAGGACCTTGTCCAGATTGCTCTTCCCACGTTTGCATTACTGTTTCTTATTTTCCCATGTCTAGGTCTGTTTCAACATGGGACAGATCACCTTGGCCAAAAAACTGGCTAGGCAAGCTCTCCGACTGCTGAAAAAGAATTTCCCTTGGACCTGGTTTGGTGTCCTTTTCCAAACATTCCTGGAAAAATACTGGCATCCCCGTTCCCTGAGCCAACCTGCAGACAACCCTCGTGAGAAGTGAGAAGCTGGCCAAGTTGCCCTGGTCCCCTTTAGGGCCTCAGAGAAACTAAAGTAGGACCAAGCCTAGAGTTTTGCCATATTGACCTCAGACTCCCTTTTTTATATATATTTTTATTGATTTTTACAGAGAGGAAGGGAGAGGGATAGAGAGTTAGAAACATCCATGAGAGAGAAACATCGATCAGCTGCCTCCCGCACACCCCCTACTGGGGATGTGCCTGCAACCAAGGCACATGCCCTTGACCGGAATCGAACCTGGGACCCTTCAGTCCGCAGGCCGATGCTCTATCCACTGAGCCAAACCGGTTAGGGCTCAGACTCCCTTTTTTAAGCATATCACAGACAGTTCTAGTTCTGCCTTACTTCCCTAGCCAATTAGATGTAACGAAATGAGGACTTTTGTTTTGGGAGTGTGGTGTTACCCTATCTCTTCCAAATAAAGATAGGTGTGTGTGTACATACATGGATATACAGATATGTAACTAGGTAGCAATTTAATATTTGTCTGATATAAAAATTGCTACCTAGTTATTGAGCTATAATCATTTAAAAGAAATATATTTAATCAAAATAGCAATTCAAAGAGTAAACCTTTATTTAAAAACTTCTCTGAACTTTTCCTGGTCAAGAGGGATGAGTTAAACAGGTCTAAGAGGTTAGAAGTAGTTGGATCCCAGAAACATTTCTGAGTTTGGAAGTCTGTAGCTGGCCCACGGAGGAGTAGACTTGGGTTTCTTGTGGGGAGGGATAGTTGGGCACTGGTGAAGAATAAGGCATGCTAACCACCCTGTGCTTCACAACAGTAAGAAGAAGTTGGCAGTCCTGCAGCAGCAGGTGCAGTGCCTCTCCCTCCTCTGGCAGCTCTATAACCTGGAGGCCACAGCCAGCAGCCACAGGTTTGCCTGCCTGGCCACGCTGATGCAGAAGAATTCAGCTGAGGAGTTTGCCAATGAAGCCCAGGTAAACCAGTCCTTGCTTTACCTACTCAGAAACCTGAAGTGCTAGGGGGACAGACGCTGCCAAGTTCCTGGGTTTTGCATGGTCCCACAATAACCCACATTTAATAGGACGCCACTGACCATGGGTTTGAGCAGGGTTTCTCAACTTGCAGTTTATAGATGGGTTTTCCAGGCATGAAGCTGTCTCTGTGAACTCACTGAACTGAATATAGAACTCTGTCTCTGTGTGTGTGTTGAAAAGAGCATTTGGGGAGTGGTGGAAGGTCGGGAAGGGGTCATAGCTTTCATCAGATTCTCAAAGAAGTTCATGATCTAAAAAAAGGATTTGGATTGCTAACTTAGGGAAAAGAAGGAAGAAGGAAGAGAAGTGTGTCTTCCTAATTTTAGCCTCTCTCGCTCTCTCTCTCTGTCTCTCTCTCTCTCCCATTTGTTCAACAAAGATTTGATGAACACCTATTAGGTCCTGGCACTGATCTTGGTTCCAGGGAAAAAGATAATAGAAAAGTGAAATATATGGTATGTTAGGTGATAATAAATGTCATGGAGGAAAAATAAGTGGAGGCAGGGGATCTGGGGATCTAGGAGTGGTGGGTGCTGTTTTAAATAAAGCAGTCAGGGAAAGCCTCACTGAGTAGGTAACATTTGGGCGCATATCTGAAGAAGGCGAGAAAATAAGCTGCATGGCTATCTGGGAGAAGAGTGTAAGGCAGAGGGCACCGTGAATGCACAGGGCATGCCCTCTGTGTTTGAGGAACAGCCAGTGTGACTAGAGGGGAAGGAGGGAAGGAGAGAGAGGAAGCAGATGAGTCAGAGGGAGGGTGGGTGGCAGATCCTGCAGGCCTTATAGGCCACTGTAGTGGTTTCAGCCTTTATTGTAAAGAAGCTGGGAAGCCTTTGGTGGGTTCTTAGAAGAGGGAGAACAGGATCTACTTAGATTTTAATAAGGTTATTCTGACTGCCATAACTGAAAGGTGCAAGAGAGGTAGCTGGGAGACCAGTTAGGAGGCTATTACAATAACACAGGCAAGAGATGGTTGGCTTGGCTTGTGGTGGCAGAGGAAGTGGGGAGGAGTGGTCTTCTCTCAAGGGAGAGCCAACACGATTCGCTCACAGATTAATTTCCGAATGTGCTAGAGAAGTGTCAAGGATAATCCCAGGATTTGCAACGTGGACTTCCAGAGGGATGGAAATGCTCTTAATTGGGATGGGGAAGTCTGTAGAAGGCACAGATTTGGGGGAAGATTGGCTGCAAGGTTTTGGACAGATTTAATTTGAGATGTCCATTAGACATCCAGGTAGAGATGTGTAGGCAGTTGAATATAAACTGAGAGAGCTCTGGGCTGGAAGTACAAATTTGGAATCATCAGTGTATAAATGGTATTTAAAACCAGGAAATTCGGTGAGATCACCAAGAGAATGAGAAAAGGTCCAAGGACTGAGTTAATAGCTCCAGCGTGAAGAGGTCAGAGTCATAAGGAGAAACCAGCACAAGAACCTGAGTAGTTGCCACAGAAACGGGAGGGAAAGTGAGAGAGCATGGTGTCCAGAAGACCTACTGAAAACTACTTTGGGTGTCATCAACCATGTCAGGTGTGCACACATTATACCAGGAACCTAGCAGCTATGCTGAAGAGCTTTAAAGAGCAAAAATCGGAGACCTTAATTAGAGACAACACTGATGAGGTTTGGCCCATGTTCTACAAGGGAGAGTCTGGGATTGGAGAAAAAGACAAGGGGCAGGTTGAGAAAATTGTTTGTCTAAAGAACAGACAGTGAGAATAATCACATTAGAAGTGTAAGGGTGAGGAGGATATCTCTTCATTGCTGGAGTGGAGGTGAGTGGTAGAGACACCAGGAGTCCTGACCAAATGAGCAGCATGGCACCAGCATGGGCAGTTATGCAGAAGAGGGACGAGATGGAATGTAGTGTAAATGCACAATCAGAATGTTTTGCCCTGTGCTCTGCCCCGCAGGTTGTCTCTACCTATGTGGCCCTCTCCCAGTTCTCCCAGAATGTGGGTGACACGGAGAAGTGGCTGCACTGTGAACAAATGGCCATTCAGAAAAGCAGCCTGTGTTGGTTCTCCAGAGAGGGGTTGTTGGCCACCGCGCAGCTCATGCAGACCTTGGCCTACACCAAGCTCTGTCTCGGCCACCTTGACGTCTCCATCAAGCTGGGTAACGGGGCTTGGGGCTGGTGAGCCTGAGGCCTTCAGAGAGGCCAGACTCAGCCAGACTTCACAATGCTCTTACCTCCTTAGGTTTTCAAGCTCATGAGATATGCGGGCACCTCCGGAAGCCAGCTCTGCAGAATCTGGTTCTCTCAGTTCTCTTTAGATCTGCATTTCTCAAGAAGAAGTATTAAGATCATTTTTTTTTTCATCTCTATTCATTGCTTAAGCGGGGAGGGTCTGATCTCCCATAGGCGATGAGATGAGAAGAGACAGCTGTTCATTCCCACAGCTGTCTCTTCTCCTGTTACTACAGGAAGCACTGTCTTAGGTGTGGGGGTTAGCAGTGAGAAGCGCAGTCTGAGCTCCTTTTTTTAAATAAATTTTTTTCTTCATTTTATTTTTTTCCATGTTCATTTATCCCCCTATACCCTCTTTTACCTCCACCTACCCCCACTCCCCAATCCCGCAGTCACCACACTGTTGTCTGTGTCCATGAGTTCTCTCGTTCTCTCTCTCTCTCTCTCTCTCTCTCTCTCTCTCTCTCTCTCTTTTTTCTTTAAGGAGGTAGAGAATTGCAGTAGTTCAAGACCGTGGAAACTGTCTTAGAGGCATTTTCCCACTTGTTTTGCTTAGAGAGAGCTCTGGTCCCAGGTACAGATGCTCTCTGTATACATAGAGCTGTGGAGAGGAGGTGCACAGGATGTTAGGCTGCTTGGAAGGCATAAGATCCCCTCCCGTCCTGCACTGTGCTCCCCACTCCCTAGCTGGTCCCAGTGGTTCTGTCTCTCGGCAGATTTGATCTGTGTGTCCATGTGCTGGACAGTCAGTGGGCGCTCATTTCCCAGGGTCATGATATCCTTGGCCTGGCCTGCTTCTATTCTGCTTGCTTAGATCTGCTGCTCTACGGAAAAGGTAAATCTTATGCATGGCTCTTTTGTACTCCTGGGGGATTCAGACCTTAGATGGGGCCTGAGGTTGGGAACACAGGCAGTCATGAGCTGGCACCTGGCATGGCCTCTGCTCCCAGCTCCTGGCTCTGCAAAGTCTAGGAACCACATTGTGATTCAGGGGTGCCTGCCTTACATATACCTCCTCCCTATACCACACACCTTCGAAACCCGTTCCTACATGGACAGCTTCTAGTAGCCTGGCTACCTTCTCTGTCCACAGGATTGCTGTGCCAGCCCTTTGGAGAGTGTCTACGTTTCATTCAATATTATGAGCATAGCTGCGTTCTAACCTCTCAGCGCAATGTGATGCTGGGGGTCCACGCCTCTCTGGCCATGTGGTAATGTGTGGTGCCAGTCTTACTCCAGGTCTATGGGAAAGGGTAGAAATTTAAGGACACAATGAAGTCATTATTTCACATCTCTGACCCACTTCTAAATACTGTCACCTCCCATCCCCATCTTATTAGAGAGATCTTCTTTTCTTCTTTTTCTTCAACAGGCTTAGGCCCTATAGGTTGAGGGTTAAGTTTGGGGTTACATGTATGTGCTAGATAACCCATGGCAAGGCTGAATATCAATAGTCTCTTTTTAAGTCTTACTTGCGACTTACATACGAGAAAGTAACTTGTATGCGAATTAGTAACCTTGGCCACTTCCCAGTATCACAATTCTCACTATCAAGGAGGTCTCGGAGCCTTAGAAAATGATGCTTCTATGAAATAGCCATGGTTAGTAAGCAGGGGACAGAGCTCAGAGCTGCGATGTTTTTCCCTCCAGGTTTGCCCGGGACTCACAGTGGAACCTGTTTGAGTATCACTTCTGCAAGGCTCGCCAGTTGGTGAAAAGAACCAATGCCTCACTGTTTGGTTCACATGGCTTTGTCCGGTTCCTAGAGTGCCATGTGCTGATGTTACAGAAAGTGCCAGAGGGTGTCTTCATGCACATTCCCCCAGAGACTCCGAGTCAAGTCTTAAAGGTACCTGTTTCTCTACTGTCCTTCAACTAACAGTTAAGGTAGCGTTTGACCCTGTGATACTCTGCCACCTACATCTGTCCCTTACTCTTCTGTTTGCTGCCTGTCTCTTTTGTCCCCTTGAATTCTTTTGTCCCTCCACCTAGAAAGTCTTTCTGCCTACCTCACGTACTCTCCCAGATATTCCTGCACGTAGGTCAGGACTGGATCCCAAAGGCAGGAGAAACCTTTGCACAGCTACTGCCCAACACCATTGAAATGTTAACCATCAGCCCTTCTCAGTGGACCCGTTCTGGCCAGTCTTTAACTTGGCACATCTCCCTACAGCCCTGCTTTCTAGTTCCTCTGTTCAAACCAACTTTCTGTGCCTACTTTGCCACCAATAACTCGTCCTTGTTCCCCCAGCCTGAGTGAGTGTGCTGAGTGGGGGCTGTTGTAAGTGCTGACAGAGTGGGGTGGAGGGAGGGAAAGTGCTAATCCCTGAGCTAATGGACCCTCCTTTCCTTTCAGTACTTTAAGGAGTTCTTCTCTCGATGTGTGACCTGCCCTGTCTATCACCGGTGGGTCTCAGAGCTGCAAGCCTCTGTAATGAGATATGGAAAGAGAGAAGTCATGCCCTTGACTAACATCATCAGGCCTTTGGACACCTGCTTGGCTAGGATTTGGATTGAGGGAGAATTCCTGGAGGAAAACAAGTCCTTTGATGGAAATTTAGCAATACAGAGTAAGCATTCCTTCCTGGAACCCTTGTCTGAGAGACACAAAGAACAGTCTCTGGTTCCTATTCACGAGCCGCCAAAGGCTTCACCTCCGAAGTAAGAAGGGACACACAGGTGTAAGGAGTTAGTCCTTGCTCTAGAGGTGGTTACTGTCTTCTCACAAGTGCTGGGCCCAGCCTAGACCCATTGCTAAGTAATGTAAGAGCCTCTCTCAGGCCTTTGTTCAGCATCTGGAATCCTTAAGTGTAGGAAGTTCCTCCTAGGTCCCAGCTTACACAAGATCGTTCCCTCAGAGGTCACTAAGGGAGAACGAAGGCCTTAGAAATCACAGTGTAATGTCTTAATGTCTGTGAAGGTAAATGGTAAGACATGGACAAGCAAAAGAGGGGAAGGAATATGGTATCTTGCCTCAGGGCTCCTTTTGCAGGGTCATGAGTTAAATCTGTAATTGCTGAGAATATTCTTTGTGTTTGTGATCGTCTTTATGTTCCTGGTTCTAGGGTTTGACAGAGTGACTGATGTCAAGGAGAACAGGGATGAAGAAGAAATTCAAGAATGTAATATTAAAACAAAAAAAATCATCTGAAGGGATCATGATTCTCTTATTGTATATAACACAAAGAAATGCCTCAAGTTCTCCTTTTAAAGATACTGTATATTTTAATAAAAGGCTGTGTTTCTGGCCCTAGCTGGTTTGGCTCAGTGGATAGAGCGTCGGCCTGTGGATTGAAGGATCCTGGGTTCGAGGGCATGTGCCCGGGTTGCCCCCTCGATCCCCAGTGGTGGTGGGTGGTGGTGGTGCAGGAGGCAGCCAATCATTGATTCTCTCTCATCATTGATGTTTCTACCTCTCTTCCTCTCCCTTCCTTTCTGAGGTCAATATATATATATTAAAAAGCCTGTATTTCTGAAGCATGAAATTTAGATCTTTCTTAACTCTGGACTGTCAATTACACAACTGTAGAGAAATTAAAACTGGGATAGACTTTACGATGAACTGATTCCATCACAGATAAGGTAGGATCCATTAGCAGACAGGAAACAGCCCTAATGAAGAGGTTGTCATTACAAAGGAAGGCTCGCAGTGTGGGTGCTTTGGTGCTGACCACTTTTGGCATAGGTGTGGAAATGGGCTGCTAAGAAACCAAGGAATGCCCTCGCTAGTTTTGCTCAGTGGTTAAGAGTATCGGCCTGCGGACAGGAGGGTCCCGGGTTCAATTCTGGTCAAGGGCACTTGCCTAGGTTGCGGGCTCAGACCCCAGTGGAGGGTGTGCGGAAGGCGATCAATGATTCTCTTTTATCATTGATATTTCTATCTCTTCCTCTCCCTTCCTCTCTGAAATAAATAAAAATAAATTATATATATATATAAGAAACCAAAGAATCTTGAGAGGTATATGGTGGGAATTCATTTCTCCTTTGTGGTATATGATTTGGGCATTTCCATGAAAAACTGAAATTGCCAGAAGGTATATGACTCTAGCCCTTTTCTTTATTCTCCCCTTTGGAGCTCTGTCTTTGGTCTTTATCTCTTCGATGGTCTTTCTTCCACAGAGTACAACCTTCCCACTGATTTTTATGCTTATAACTCAATCATTAGTGTTCATAAAGCCAGTTAACTAATGATATGATAGCTACCACTTATCCTTCACTCTGTGCTTGAAGTACATTCTTTAAATCCTCTTATCAATTCTGTGAAGCAAGTATTTTTATTAATTCCCATTGTATAGATGAAGAAGCTGAAGCTTAGAAAGTTTTTGCTCTAAGAAACAGCCACAAAATGGTGGAGCTGGAATTCCAACTCCAATTTAATTCCAGAGTTTACGCTCTTCACCACTAGGCTCACTGGCTTTCCTGGGACCTAGCCTACAGTCAGCTACCCTGCGCCCAGGCTCCAGTATTCTGTTCAAATGGTCAGTCAGAACTCCAAGGATGTTTGGGAAAGAGAGGCCTGGACTTCTTTTAAATTGTCCTATCTAGTCCGCTCATACCCTCCTCCCTCCTCTTGTCACATTTCTTCCTCCCTCCTCCACTCCCCTCATTTCCCTTCCACTTTTCCGCCTCTTACTCCCCCGCCCACCCCACTTCCTTTCTCCTCTTCTATCCTTTAAATTTCTGAGAGACAGTATAGCGTAGTGGTCAGGAGCAAGGACTCTGAGCCAGGCAGCCTGGGTCAGATTTTAACTCCTACATATTAGCTGTGTTACTTTCATCATATAATTTATTTTCTTTATGCTTCACTTTCCTTTTCTGTAAATAAGGATTAAAAAGATTGTCATTGGCCAAAACCGGTTTGGCTCAGTGGATAGAGAGTCGGCCTGCGGACTGAAAGGTCCCGGGTTTGATTCCGGTCAGAGGCATGTGCCTGGGTTGCGGGCACATCCCCAGTGGGGAGTGTGCAGGAGGCAGCTAATCGATGTTTCTAACTCTCTATCTCTCTCCCTTCCTCTCTGTAAAAAATCAATATTTTTTTTTTAAAAAAAAGATTGTCATTGTGAAAATTAAATGCATATAAAGTGCTAGAACAGTGCCTGGCACATAGTAGGCACTCAAGAGATGTTAGCTGTTATCGATTCAATTTTTATATTTAAAAATAGATAATACATTTATGTGGTACAAAATTCAAAGAACAAAGGTATGTAACAGTGAAAGTTTCCCATTTCTGTCCTCCAGCCACCAGTCTCTCTCCCCAGAGCTGAGGTGCGTTACCCTTCCTGTGTGTCCTTGCAGAAGTATTCTATGCACGTGCAAGCTAC